CTTTCTATACAGAGGAAGTAACAACGGAGAAGTTGTACACCGTTTGGGCGAACGCGTTGTAATTAATTTGATGGAGTCTTTTTGGGGAAGTGAATATAATTTATTTACAGATCGTTATTTTACTTCACAAATATTATAAGAATATTTGGCAAGCCGAGGCATAAATATAATAGGAACTTTGGATTCAAAAAGGAAGTACCAAATGAATTGAAAAGAAAAGGAAAGCAGACAGATGGGTCTTTAGTAACATATCATTGTTCAAATGGGAGTTACTTATCGAGTTTTATTGATAAGAAAACTAATGTACTATTACTGTCTAGCACTAAAGCCAACAAAGTGGATGTAAATACAAGTGAAAAAGTATCAATAAAACCAACTATTAGATCGAAATATTCTACACAAAGATTACCAAATAAAACCACTGTTAATATAGATTATAATAAATTTATGGGAGGAGTTGATATAGTTGACTCACTTACCAAAAGAACCGATACAGAGAGAATAACAAGAAGGTGGACTTTAGCTTTGTTTTTCTGTATGTTAAATCTGGCATTTAACAACTTGTACGTTATCATGAAATCTCAAATTATACACAACAAAAACCATCACAAACAAAAATTAACAGAATTGAAATTATGGAAAATGTCGCGATACACTTAATTTTTAACAATGTTAAAAAGAGGAAATTGAATCATTTGAATCTACGATCCAGAAAGGCCGTTATTTATTTTTCGAAAACATTTACAAAGAATGAGTTTAAATAACCCATTTTTATTCAAAAAACCGTTTCTGATTGTGCGATTTGTAAAGAAGAAATTAAAGGAAAACGAAATTCCGTTAAAAATATTTGTGTGTCATGTGGTAGACATGTTTGTTTTAAACACTCTATCCGAATTTATAAATGTAACAATTGTATCAATCAATTTGATTTCTAAAACAATAAAAATTGATATTTTTGTGGTAGTAATATATCGGGATATTTGCATCAACATTAAAAATAAATTTCCTGTTTATACAAATAGTTCTCACTTAGATTTTATTTGGTTATTTGCAAAAATGGCGACTTGTTTAACTTCCCTTATAAAGCCAATCAAAAATATCTATTTAAATTTGTTTTTATGATTTTTTGTTTATAATTGTTATTATTGGTTGCATGGCTTTCTCATGCAGTGTGTTATTTTTTAAAATAATTTTTACACATTTTTTTTTCATAAAAAAAACTTGTAAAACATGCGACCATTCGCGGGATAGTAAAATATGAAAATTACATCAAACACAGCTATAGTAAAAGATGAAAATATTAACATTAATATAAATTTCAAAATATAATATTTTAATTTATAACAATATTAATATTAATATATTATTATAATTTTAATAAATTTACCCAAAAATACAATATATTTATTATATTTTTTATTAATACATAAACAATTGGGTTTATAAATTCAATTTTATTTTAATATTAATTTTTTTCATATTTATTATAGTATATTTTATTGGGCAATTTTAGCCAATTAATTATAATTACTATTTTATAAAGAATTCAACCTTATCATTAATTTAGTTAAAATTATCTAGAGTTATTTGCTAAACGTTGTCTTGTTTGTAAATTTGTCTGCCTATTTTTAATCCATAATAAATGGAATATTTTAGGAAATTTAATGAAAAACTTAAAACTGTAGTTTTAATATTTTTCCTAATTTTTTTCTTTTTTATTTAATTCCCGTTTTTTTGAAACAAAAATCAATTATTTTTTGTCAAAAAGACAACGTTTGGGGAACAGACAACGCTGTTAGACTGACTCTACGCATTTAAGAGATATTATTTTTTGAAATCTCTTTGTATTTTGGATTTAATTATTTTAATCAATTATAATAAACTATAATGTTAAATTTTACGTTTTATAATATTATGTAACATTTAATGATATTATAATAAACACAACTCAGAATGCTGCCAACAAAATTAACAACAATTTATTGATGTGATATTAAATCAAATAATATATAACAATTTTTAATTCATTAAAACAATCATTAACAAATGATTTGACATTGAGTTATATTGTTACGCTTTTACACATACAAAAATAGTGATCATAGATCAATGCACCACCGAATAGTATTGTAACACCATCAACCTTGAAACATTCAAAAGTCCAATCCGAACCAATCAAATTTAGTGGTATTACTGTAAATACATTTATTGTTTTTAGTGTAATTTGTAAATTTGGACTTGAGTTTTCGACCATTTTTTTCACAGTTCCAAAATAAATCTGTAATCTTTTTTTCATTTAAAAATATTATAAATTATCATCAGTATTTTTAAAAAAAAATCAAACTCAGATTTCAAACGATGATACATATTGAATGTTTTCATATTTTAATTGTTGCGAAGTACTTTAAGACTTCAAACGACTTTTTGAATTTGGAAATGGTGTGTAAAAAGTATTATAACTTTACAAACAATTTCCATTTTAACCCAATTTCTGTTTCAGAAAATAATTTAGTGTTATTCCCAAATGTAGAAACACTTCATTTATATTCTCCTTATGATGATTTTTTTCCAGAAAAAGCTTTCTTTCAAAAAATTGTCCATTTAAAGTTATACATTCCAGTCTCCCAAACGCATTACCAGAACCTGTTACATCTTCATTTGTTGAATACGTAGTGAATGGTTATTATTCCAAAGAAATTGTCTCGATTCCACCTCTAGTGACTTCGATTAGTGATGGGTGTTTTCGTGGATGTTTTGCTCTTTCGTCTGTTTCTCTTTGCTCAACAGTAACTCGTCTTGGTGCCGCATGCTTTTATGGATGTTGCAACATCTCGAACATTTCTATACCCCATAATGTCATTTTCATCGGGAAAGACGCATTCAATTGGTGTTCCTCACTTGAACAAATAGTATTACCTAAGTTTATTACAAAACTAGAAAAAACAACATTTTGTGGGTGTTCAAAACTTAGTGAAGTTGAATTACCACAATATTTAATAAATATTGGGGAGTCGTGTTTTTCTGGGTGTAGCTCACTCCGCAAAATTGAAATATTAGAAAATGTCGAGGAAATGGATTCAGGCGCATTTTCTGATTGTTCCAAACTCGAAATTGTTTTGTTTAAAACGACAAAATTGGTGACTATCAAAAATCGAATGTTTCAAAATTGTAGCAATTTGGAAATTATCAAACTTTCATGTGGAATTACAAGTCTCGGAAACTACGCGTTCTCGTTTTGTTATAAATTGAGTGAAATAGTGATGAATGAAGAGTTGGAAGAAATTGGAGATTCAACTTTTATGGGGTGTAAAATGTTAAGTAATGTGGCGTTAAACCAAAAACTAAAGGAAATTAAAATATTTGCATTTAAAGACTGTCGTTGTTTGAGTTATCTTAATATCTCAAAAAGTGTGAAACTGGGTGCAGAGTGTTTTAAAGGATGTTTATTCCATTAAAATTTATATTTGGTATTTTTCTTGTTTGTGCAATACTAGAAACGACAATTATCATTAACAAGTAAGAGTTGGTGGAAAAATTCCAGCTTAATAAGATTAACAGTTTTTTATTAAAAACAACTATTTATTATTAATTTCTATAATTATTATTATATAATAATTACCAAGCCAAAGAATTTGATTAAAATTTTGAAACACCTTTATTTGGAATTGAATCCCATATTTGAACCCAATACAATTATAAGTTGTTAATCGACTTCGGTCAGTTTTAAACATTGTCTCTTTCGCGTGAAATTAATTCAATTCAAAAGTGGATTGTATGAGTTCAAGATTTTTAAACATTCACCGCGTTTTGTGGTTAACTTGACGATGTTTTAAATTCAAATTTGTTGCTGTAAATTAAATGTCAAATAAAATGCTGCGTTTCATCACACATTTAAGTTCTCGATTGTTGAATTATGTTGTATCGATATGTATTTGACTAAATAATATTTTTGATAACTTTCAATTGTACTTTCTTTTGTGTTTGCCAAATCTCTATTTTCAATTTCCAAAAAAACATTAAGTTGTAATTGACTGTGTAAAGTGTTTGACACAAACACTAAACAAAAAGTTGTTTTTTTATTCAAAACGTCAATTTTATTGAAGTGAATTACAATTTTTCAACCAGTTATAATTTTTATTATTTATTTCTTATTATTATTAATATTTTATAGTTTGTTTTTTTATTTTTAGGGGTTTTATTTAATGTTTTTGGTTTAATTCTGAATGTTTTTCGAATTATAGCAATAAATATTATATTTTACTAATATTTGTAAACGATCGATTTTTCTAAACAAACAAACTCTATAATATAATAAAACCAATTAAAATTTTTAACATTGAAAAGTCCACAAATGGATATGTCAACTTACTTCAAAGAAATGAACAATACGTCCATGCTGACCCATCAGAAAAGTCCATTTTCGTATACAACAGGCATTGTTGTACACTTAGCACAAATGGAATGTCTAAATCATTACCTCCCATTTACTAAATATCCAAATCCATTGCCAAAGGAATTTAGTCCTCTCACTTTTCCAAAGGAATACCCAAACATTCGTTCAAAAATAATTTCCATAATTCTCGGTCAAGCCGTCGGCGACACTGTTGGTCTCTCGACTGAATTTTTCTCGAAGGAACAAGCCGAGTTGTTTTATAAACACAAGAAAATCAATCATTCGCGTTATTTGATAGACCAGCACCGCTCTCTGTGGATGAATTTTGACTTGAAATGTTTGGACCGGACTGACGACACGGATCAGTTGCTATTAATACTCGACTCTTGAGTAGCAAAGAATGGAAATTGTGTTACAGAAGTCTTTGCAACATGACATCTTGATTGGTTTTATTTTAGATATTCAGAAGTAAGCGATATGGGCGCCTTAGGTATTGGAGCAAATTTTAAGGTTGTTTTATCGTCCAAAAATATTTGGAAAACCTACTTAAAATTAATGGAAATTTGGAAAAAAAGGAGGAAGACAAACTACTCCTAATGGAAGTGTCATGAGGACTTCAACGGCTGCTATTCCTTATTTTTGGGACATCGAAAAGGTTGAAGAGACTGCAAAAATTTTGTGGAAAATGACTCACTTCGACCCACGGTGCCAGGCCTCTGTTTCTATAAAAGTTTATTTAATTGGGGAGTTCCTAAGAGGCGAGTGTGATTGTCAAAAAGCGATTGAATTTGCACGAGAAAGAGGTAGAAAGTACATAGAAGGTAACAAGGAGTTTTATTCCGATTTTGAGAAATTCACAAATCCGAAGAGTTTGGAACAACTTGATTTAAATAATTCGATTGGGTACACGTATAAGCCAGTTGGATGTGCAGTGGGGTTTAAAAGGCATGGAAATTGAAAAATGATGGGAAAAGTAACAAGGAAATAATCGAGAGTGTATTGATGGCTGTGACCTTTGAAGCGGGAGATGCAGACACCAATAAAGCAGTTGTTGGAGCAGTGTTGGGTGCTTACATTGGCAATTTGGATATGTTCCCCAAAGACTGGATTGCACTTGATAACAAAATTGGCTTATTGAGAGGATCAACAGAATGTTGGAATTGATGAATTTGGAGGAAATTAAAGAGGGAGAAATTTAAATGATAAATTTTTGTTTATTTATTTTACAATTTTTAAGAGAAAGAAAATAAGTGCACGAAAGACTGACAAGATTTGTTAAAAAAATACTTGGTGGATTCGGGATGTCTTCTCGCTATTTTTGATGTTTTCTGTGAATTGAAAAATCCTTTCTATTATTTTTGTGTTTTTGGGGGTTCCAAAAAACTGTACAAAGTACAACAATTTTACCATGTTTTTGTTATTAAACAATAATAATTGTCGAAATAAAATTATGGACAAACACTATACAATAAATTTATTTTGTTATAAATTAATGGTAAAAATATATTAATTTATTTTTTTGATTAGACATTTTGAGTCACTTACTCAAGGCATTTATAAGATGTGGACCTAATATTTCTAGTATTTGTGTTAAAATAAACAAGTTTTATTTTGGTGTTTTTTTTAAGGTTGACTTTCTACATGATTAACAGGGTGTGCCAAACCAGGATGGAATTGGCCTATATAAATAGAGCAGTTTTTTGGCAAAGAAAAATGAATAATAAACATGATAATATAAAAATTTATTTTTATCAGTATTGTCAAATAACAATTACCAATAATTATTTTGTTTTTTACTTTTTTCATTCAATATTTAAATTTTTTATTTAATTTTTAATTTTTATTAAAAATAATATAAAATTATAGTTATTAAAATATATGTTTTAATTCATAATAACTAAATGCCAATAATCGGATTATCTAATTAATATAATGTAAATATTGTTATCTTAAAGTTGCGAATCACGCTTTTTACGTATTTATACATCTCCTTATTTATTTTTTTGTTTTCGAACTTTATTCCGTCTATTATCAATTGTAGAGTTTTTATAAACTAAATAAAACATTTAACAAGAGTAAATTATTTTTTATTATATTCCAAAAAATGCGAAGGTTAATTATTTTATTTAAATAATACTTCTTATTACCCGTTTTGCTGTAGATCCGATTCCAAACATGTCAAATTTATCGAGTTATAATATATTTTTTATTAATTATGTTTTGTATTAGTTTATATTTTTCAATGTCTGTTATTAGTATAAAGAATTCAACTGTATAACACCCAACTATCTGGTAAAAAAAACTTAGAAACGCATAAATTAGAGTGGTCATCTTGTCGTAGCCATTCTATTATACCTCGGGATCTATTGACCAAATTTTAACCGTGTAACACTCAATTATCTTGTTAGATAAAATAAATTATAGTGATCATCAATATGAATTATCTCGTCATCACGATTCTATGTCACATACTTGACTATCCAACAAGTATTCATTAATAAAAATTGTTTTCGTTATAATTTACTCTAAAACAATGAATTGTTAGATTATTTTAAGTTTTTCATTTTTTCCCACCGAGCAAAAAATATTAAATCTGAAAAAAAAATATTATTTTTATCTTTTTAGTTTGCCACGTCACATAAATTCCGCGCAGTGCACAAATTGTTACGGTTTGGATTACCCCGCATCATTATATAAATGTGTAAGACGAAAAATTTCAAAATTTAAACACATTCAAAAGCGTCTATTTGTCGTGAATCCAGCAGAAAACGAATTTATTTGTCAAAAATTAAAAAATTTTGTAGAAAAATCTTTCAAATATCGAAATTTATTTTTTATTAAAAAATTAGTTTTTAATTCAACTAAGGTTACAGATTCGAAAACAAAATAATTAATTGTCAATAACAAAAATTATTGGCCAATTGTAAATATAATAATCAAATTCGACAATTATAATGAAATAAAAATTAAAACAATTGACATAACAATAAAAATAATATAATAATTAGTGAAAATTATAATTATAGATAATATAATGTAATTACATAAAATAAAAAAAGATTGAAAAATTTAAACAGTGAGTTAAAAATACAAATTGTTAAACAAACAAAGACGAACAAAGTGAGTCAAGTTTGTTTTGATTTGGATTTTTAACTCACAAAGGTTTAAATTGATAAAATGTAATTCCGTGTTCAGATGGGAACGGGTGTATCCTACTTGATATGAACCTACCGAAAGTAGAAACATGAGAAGATAGACCATCTGAAAAGAAAAGAATAAAAAATCGAATATATGAATGAAATGAATAACGAGTGATAATAAAACAGTTATGACTATCAAATATTATATATTAATATTCACTCTGAATTTTATATTATAAATATGTTGGCATGATATGAATGTTATATAATAATCTTGATAAAAAACAACTCATGTTCATATTATTTTAATAAAATAATAAAAAGCTCAAAAAGCGCGTCTTTTGCGTGTGTTATATAACATATTGTAATATATACATGTTCTAAAAATAGAACAACTAAAACTTAAAAAGGTAGATTACCTGACGTTCCCATCTGTGTGAACATAATGGTACTAAACATATTAATAATCAATTGAATTATATTTTTGATTTTGTTTTCTTGTTTAAAATTCTTTTGATGATATTATTTTTAAATTCCTTATATTTTTATTTTTTTTATGAATTTACCAATTAAATCAATAATTCTACATGTTATTTTATAAATCATTATTTTCCATCCATTAATAAATACCAACAAACATAATTAATTTAATACTTGTTTATATTTATTGTATATTTTCGATATAATATATTAAATATCGATATTTTTATTTTACCATTTGATAACATTTGAATATTTTATTCAAGTTTATTTTTATTTGTTGTTTAAATCAAATTTTTTTACATAAAAAATGAACTAATTTGTAATGAAACCGTTAAACATTTTGTAAGAAGGGCTATTCATATTAATCCACTTAAAAGCGAGTTAAGGTTTTTTGTGGAAAAAGTAATAAAAATAAACTTTTTTATTAATTTGATTAGAAAAAAGTGTTTTTTATATGTAAA